CGAAAAAGTTCAGATTCATACAGGCATTTGATGTCCCCGCGGCGTATCCCCTGGGCTCCATATCTGTATTGCTCCATAGAAGGCCGGAGTCCGCGTCCTTATGAGGCGTCGAATCTAGCGCGAATACATGCTCGAGTTGGAACTGCGCCAATGCCTCTTTAAGATAAAGAGCACATCCTTGGGGAACATGGAGGACAATGTCCATGCCCCTTTTCAATGCGCTAACGCCCCTGACAATGACAAGTGGCAGTGACTCTTTCATAGTTCCCACCATGCTCGCCATAGTGATGCATGGTTGGCGATCACGATCTATCCATGGCGGAAATGGGAACCAACGTTCCTGGGCACCTAGATGTCCAAGAGCCCTCATAATTCCATATCTTTGGGCCACTTCTGCCTCCGGAGCAATAAGAGGGATGACTTGAAGCCACTCGAGAGGGAAATACGAAGCCGGAATATCGGCGATAGGGTGCGCAGGGCAGTAAACGATCCATTTGAAATCGGGCCTATCGAGAAACGACGGAGAATGAAACTCCGTACGCTGAAATTCTTCAACTGTCTGCCCACTTTTCGCCGCAGAATAAACGAATTTGATCCATTGGAAGGGAGCAGATGGCAGGTTATCCTCCAGTTCATTGGCTCGGCGTCGGATGGTGAAAACGATCTCCTTTTGGCCCACTTGAGCCAGCCCTTTAGATATGTAAGTCCAGCAGTTAACTTCACCGCTAACCGCGGACTTGATAGTATGATAGAATATCAGGGCTTGGACGTTCTCCTCAGGCAAAACGGGATGAGTAAGTGGCCAAGCTATTGCCTTTGTTGTTTGGCCCGCAGCCTGTCGCAAAGCAGGCGGAGGATTTTCTGCGACAGCTGGATGATATGGAGAAACATTCTGCTGAGTGGCATCCCTGGGTGATGAGGGTCCAGAATAAATCGCAGAAGCCTGTGAAGCTGGTTTCTTCTTACCAAGGCCGGAAAGGCGCTTCTTCCATCTATCAAAGCCCATGACCGTGGTTGATAGACGCAGCGATTAGGGCAAATGGAAGGGGTATCGATGGTTGGGAAGAGGTAGAATTCGATTCCGCACTTAGCATTACATTTCGGGAAATAGTTGTCGATATATAACCGTTGACCGGCACTGTTGAGATGTTGAACGTTCTCGGCTGCCACAATTCATCCAAACACAGCCCTCCTCCACCTTCCGTCAACGTGCCGTCAACGTGTCAATACGAGAGATCATTGTGGCGTTACACTCCAAGAACCCCATACATGGGACCAGCCAACGCTGATTGTTACCTGAAGCCCTTGGAGACAATGTGGTGGCTTTTGTCAATTGGAGCATGGCTGGTGGCTAGAAAATGCAGTCGAAGGTTTGGGGGCAGTAGGCCTCCATGGTGCCCACGGGGTTAGTTATAGTTTTGCTAGTGTGCTAAGCTTGCAGGTTTTAGGGCCCCAGCAACCCTATTACAGCCTGGCCGAGTCTGACCGTCAAAAATCAGGTGACCACTAACCGCCTCGGAGCTAACCTTGGGAAGCAACCTTGGAACCTGGGAAAGTTGCGACTTCAATCAATAAGGACGATAGTATTCAGACCTTTACGTTCCCTCCAACAACACTATTGTGAAAAGTTTTCCGGGTTTGCCCAATGCACGGAGACACTCAAAAGGAAAATGTCTTTAGGCAAGTATCCATTTTATATTGCTGTTGTCTGGTTCCCCACCCCGATTCAGTTTGCCTGCCAGCCGTCTCATCTCGTGGCGTCAGTATCCAGAATTGCGAAGCTTGGGCCAAGAGCTAACATGATCGTTGACTATAGATGAGGAAGTGCTGGAGCTTGTCGCTAAAGATGGAACTATGGATTAGTATGTTGGCGCATATCTTTAAGCTCGTCTATGCGTCACTTCGTTGACATGTTGTGATGCTTGATATAGTCAGAAATGGCCCAACTTGCTGGATCCTTTAATCGGACGACTAGAACATGTGCGTCTTCCTTCACAAAGTCTTAGCTTTGTGCGGAACTCAAACGGAGCAATAGATAGAGAAATCCCTAGTGGAAGCTGACAGTTCGTGTAGATCATTCACAATGACTTCCCGATGCCCATTATCGCTCCAACTTGGAGCCCAACTGTTGATACCCCAAGTCTTATCCCCTCCTCCTCCTATTCTACCCAAGAAATAATCTCGCAAGCAAATAGCAATAAAGAGAATGCCCCCCCACCACCATTACAAACCCCGCCCCGCCGACCACCAGTTCCGGCCTTTCCATCCTCCGCCTCCAATGAACGCATTCCTGATTCGCAGCCGCAGTCTGCTCCGACGGACGACGCCCTCCCGCCACCCCTCGTCGCAATCCTCTTGTCAATCAAATCCACTCTAAAGACCTATTTCTCTACACACCCACCACACACGATACAGCGCCTAGCAGAGTTGATACTACACCCGACCCGTTACTACCGCACGTTGCCTGCGTATCTCCGTGCGGTAGACAGGGTAGTGTCTGTCTCCAGCGGCGCTGATATTTTCCCATTGCCGCGCTCCATGCCTTTACCCGGCGGCATTATCGATACCAATCTCGCCAACGGCGTCAATGGGACAGGGAGCTATAATTTCATGCTTAGCGATAGCGATCTGCTGGGAAGCGATGAGTCTCTTGGAGGTGCTCTTCTCACCCCGATCCCGTGGCTGAACAACAACTTTACTCTTCCCGGAGGTAACGACGATGGTGACTTTGTGGAACGCGGTTCTAGTCCAAATTCGAGCCCAGGTGCGAGCTCGCCCGGTAGCAGCAGCGCGTCGTTGTCCGCTGTTCCGTCGCTGGAATCCGGCGCCGTGGCAGAGGGCGAACTCATTCGACAGGAGCAAGAGACTGGTGCTGTTCCTACAACAATACACCATGAGAATGCGCGACAGCACCAGACGGCTTCGTCCCTGATGGGTGAGGGAGCTGAGGGAGAAGCACAAGGTGAAGAATTCGAGGAAGTGCCTCATGCGAGAGGTCCTAATATTCTCGGCGTAGAAGATATGGGATTGCAGAATGGGAAGGGAGTGGTGATGTCACTGTCGGCCAGTCCCCCTCGCACTGATGTTTCTCGTGGCGGTGGTGGTTCGGCGGCCGATTCGAATGACGCCCTGCGAGAATCAACGGGTAATGATGAGTTGAGTGATGATATGAAGGGTGATACAGATAGGGATGCAGATGGAGACATTGTCATTAGTGATACACCTGAGAAGCCTGTTGGGGCGCCGAAGGAAGACCAACCAGGACCTGTTTCAATGGTGCAATCTGAAGAGCCGAAGCAAGAGAATGGCGTGCTGACAACGTCAGCGATGGAAACAGATGAAGGACCAAATGAGAGCAAAACGGAAGAATCCAGCGGCGGCAGTCGGATGGACACATGAAACAGTATCGTACTATTTTCCTTTTTTCTCTGTTTCTTGACCGAATAGGCGTTCCTGGCTTTTCCCAAGCTACGAGTTTATATGGAGATGGCTACCAAGGGGTTTCACAGAATTGGGAAATACGGTGCTAGTTAGCATATCTTGCTCGCATTGTATTGCTTTCCTGAGTGCTCCATTTCCAGAGCATATTGAGGCATATCGAAACTGAGAGCTCATGATCTCGATGTAAGAATCTCATTAACGAATTTAATTTCATGTTTCCCAAAGAAAGGAACACCCATTCTCCCTCTATATAAGGAGTAATGTACACCCATAGAAAGCAAATAGTCATAAATCATAGGTGATGTATTACACATTAAATATCCGAAGAAAATGGGGATGCCAGGGGAATATGGATTGAAAGAATAAAGTCAAACATATTGATGCCCAGAACAATGGGGATTTGATATCAATCCATCATCACAAGAAATAATAAAAAAAGATTAATGGGGCCCTTCATGCCAGTTAGAGAACTACCCGAATCATAACTTACAGTTTCCGATCTCCTTCTGATGTAATGCCCGTATCTTGCTGGCACTTTTTCACCAGCTTTGCCCAGCGCACTTCAAATGATAGACGTCAGATGGACACATACAAAGATCCTCATAAACGTAGCATAACTCGGAAAGAAAAAGCCACTCACGTCCACAAGCATTACAGAGCGTCTTCTTCCCGCTCGGGCCCTTCCGCCACTCAGGCGACGAGAAGGTCCCGCAATCGGTGCAGGAATTCGTTTCCGCAGGCCCGATCCTGCGTTTCCTTTCAGTGTTGCCTTTAGCGCCCTTAATACCATCCCTGCGGCTCCCCGTGAAAGCAGTCGCCGGAAGCCCGTCACTCTGGAAAATAGTGCCCTCAGGGTCACCGGTGCTTATCCCCCGCGCGCGTTCGCCAGCCCCATAGCGCAGGCCAGTCATGAGCTCGATATCGTCTAGATATGTGCTACCTTCGAAGTCAATGGGATTGGAAATGTTATGACGGGGTAAGGATGCCGTCACATTGGGCAGCATTGGAGGATTGGGCGGTGGTACAGTAGCAAGTCCGAATTGAAATTCACCGGTAGGAGGAGGGTGGAAGGCTGGGCTTCTGGTTAAATCGCGATGGGCTTGTGGTGGCATGGAGCGGACTTGCTCGCTGTCTGGTTTAATCTCATGGCTGTGAAGCTGAAATTCCCCTTCCCGCTTCAGTTCTGCGATGCGTCTGGTCAGTCGTTCGTTCTCAAGTTTATGTTCTAGAAAGGAGTCGAGAAGCTGTCTTTGTTTAGTCAGGTAGGGGCGGGCGATTATTGAGAACTCCGTGCTTGTCGCAGAGTCGATGTCCCCATGGGCATCCAATAGTAGATAAGTCCCGTCATGCTTCTTAAAACGATAGTAGCACTGGAATGGAGTTTTTGTGTTTATTGAACTAGCGAACTCTTTGACGACCATTGAGCGGTCATCTGGATGGATAAACTCAAACAAGACATTGCCTATTAAATCCTCCGATTCGTACCCTGTCAGTGCCTTGCAGCAAGGGGACACAGATAGCAGTATCCCGGACAAATCTAAAATCTGTATCAGGTCTCTTAATCCCGCTAGGATGATACTCATGCGATTTTCCGCCTGTATGGACTCAACACCATGTTCGCCGCCGGTACCCGCAGGACTCACAACTGGAGGTGAAGCTGTAGTAGGAGCCGCGCAAGGGGTGTCCTCTGCCAGTTTGTTTTGTTCCCATATTAAGGATTCAGCAGGGATATTTGGAGGAAATAAGGTAGCTGTTTCAAAGGCCTGGATATTTCTAAACGCGGCATCGGGAGCACCGAAACCGAAACTGCGATGTGGTTCCGCATCATTGAAGTTTCCCGTCAATGATCCTCGTGCATTTAACCCTGGGACAGGGATCTTTCGTTATTTATCAGTTAGAATATAGTTATACCATGGTAGAAGGGCTGCTTCTGCTGTTGAGTGGTTGGTGGTATCATACATACCTCTGTAGAATAATCTGGAATTCCTTGAGCAAAGCGGTGATCATATCCTGACATGGGGAAAGCCCGAGATGGCCTGTTAAGGGATAGAAACGAATTGATAAGAGGCACAGTTTGGAAGGCTAGTTTGCGACTGAGATCTATATCTACGTTATCACTAAAATACCTGGTTGTTGTGATGAGGAAACATATTTTAATCTCTCTCGATCGTGCTCTCACACCGTTTTATCACACGCGCGTCATGGCTGCTTCCTTGTTTCTGCATTAGGTATGCCCTGTACAGGAGTGTGGATGTGTACATGTATGTACATACATGTACATACAGTGCTCTACGGAGCAGCACACGCACAGGTGCAGCGAGCTTGTCGGCCTCTCACAGCGGCTTCGGGATCCCCGTACCCCGGCCATCTGGGGCCCGTAGCGCCGGGTCTGGAGCTTATCGGGCCGTGTCTGCACCCGATCAGCGCCTATCTGATCGGAAGTCTACAGAGAACTCTCTGTGCAACGGCAACGTCGAATTCATGGAGATTTCCATCACAATACACCATCAGTCAGCTATCCAGCGCAGGGTCCCCCGTGAATGGGTTACCCATTAGACGAAGAGTCTAGGCAGTACTGTGGACTGTGTAGGCCAGAGAGCCCAGGAAGACTCGGTCACGTGATGTCGTGCCTTAGAAGTTCCCGCGTTGAACAACGCGCAGGCATCCAATTTTCGATCGCCCTCTGGAAAGCAAAAACCAACGGACAGCCGTTTCCCCACAACGCCCAACACCAATACCGGCTTGGGTAGGAGTGGATTCGAAAAACAATATCTGGCAAGATGTATGTGCCATCTCCAGCTACATATGTATGCTTTTTTTTGTCTTTTAACTAACCGGCTATTCAGGTGTAAGTCACCTACTGGAGGACCGTTTTTCGGAGAGCTAACAGCTGTCAAGCGAAAATCGACAAATTATCCATTCTTGGGTAAGCACGCTCATGATATATATATACCTCTTCCATAGCTATGAGCATATCACTAATGTTTGCTGGTCCTTTTCACCTAATAGTGTTCGGTCGTTTGACAACAGCCGCAGCGAAACTATCCAGTTTCATACCCCTTTGACACTCATCGTCGGATACAATGGTTCTGGGAAGACGGTATTCCTCCACATCTCGGATATATCAATTTTTTTTTTCTTTTTTTTCTTTTTTTTTTTAAAATATTTAACTAATTGAGCCATAGACCATCATTGAGTGTCTCAAATATGCTACGACAGGAGACCTTCCCCCAAATAGCAAAGGTGGTGCTTTTATTCACGATCCAAAGGTTTGTCTACGGATATACGTGTTCGATTGAAGATAAGAGCTAAAAGCAAATCGCAGTTATGTGGCGAAAAAGAGGTACTGGCCCAAGTAAAGCTCTCGTTCAAGTCTGTATCGGGAGCGAGGATGGTAGCAACTCGCAGTCTACAGCTTACTGTGAAGAAAACTACGAGACAGCAGAAAACCTTGGAAGGCCAGCTTCTGATGGTTAAGGACGGCGAACGAACGTCTATCTCTTCGAGAATGGCGGAACTTGACCAGATTATGCCTCAATATCTCGGTGTTTCAAAGGCCATCCTTGACTCTGTTATTTTCTGCCATCAGGATGAGAGCCTGTGGCCAATGAGTGAGCCCTCCGTTCTGAAAAAGAAGTTCGACGAGATATTTGAAGCCTTGAAATACACGAAGGCTATCGATAACATCAAAGCGCTGCGAAAAAAGCAAAATGAAGAACTCTCTAAATTCAAAATCATGGAACAGCATGCCAAAGAAAATAAAGATAAAGCTGACCGCGTAGGTATTCATTCTCCAATTGTATTTCTCATCAGTAGATTCTAGCTGACCCTTTTAGGCTGAAAAAAGATCAATCAAATTACAAGACGAAATCGAGGCGCTACGTGCTGAGAGCCATGAACTTTCACAGCAGATGAGACGAGCCGCCGAACTGGCAGATAAGGCCTGGAAGGAGTCAGAGAGTTATGCACAAATTCTTGGTACTTTGGAAGGGAAGCGGATAGAAGCTAAGAGCATCCAGTCCAGCATCACCAACCTGCAAGAACATCTTGTCGAAGTCGATGAGTCCGATGAATGGCTTGAAAGGACGCTGGAACAGTTTGAGTCACAGCAAACTCAATATCGAGAACAAGAAGTATCATTGAAGGAAAAATATGTAGAGCTCAAACAAGTAATTGAAGACAATCGAACGAGGCTAGGGCTCAAACAAGCTGAATATGGCAAACACGAAAATGACAAAGCTCAGTTCGAACGACAGCTGGGAAGACGCGAAAAATTGATCAAAGAAATTGCTAGGCAGAATAATATTCGTGGTTTCGACCATGACCTTGACGACATGCAAGTTAACGAATTCATGCAGCGAATTCGAAAGCTATCTAAAGATCAAAACCAAGCTTTAGAGAGAGCACGACAGGAGGCCCAGATGGAACTACGTGAAGCGCAGAGCCTTCTAAACCAACTCAGCCAACGGAAATCAGCCCTACAGGAAGTGAAAAACGCTGCGAGAAAGCAGATATCATCCAATGATATCGAAGCAGATTCGTACCAAAGACGTCTTGATGGGATTGACATAGATGAAGGTAGTAAAGCTGTTTTGGAGTCAAGAATTGAAGAGACCGAACGTTCCCTAAATGAGGCGAAGGGGAAAGCGAAGGCCGCATCCTGGGATAGCACAATCCAAAGCAAAACTGCAGAAATTCGATTGTTGGAAGATGAGAGCTCGAAATTGAATGCAGAGCTGATCGAAGGGACCAAAAGAGCGGGTGACCTTGCTCGATTAGACCATCTCAAGAAGGAGCTTAAGGACCGCGAACGCAGCCTCGAAACCATGGAAGGAGCACACAGTGACAGGATCAAGAAATTTTTAACTCAGGAATGGAACCCCTCTACACTCGATCAGGAATATCAAAGAGCCTTACAGGAAGCTACCAACGCCTTGACGCGCGTTGAGCGTGATAGGGACGGTGTAAGCAGGGAATTAGAACATGCCGAGTTCAAGCTAAAGACGACTCGAAAGGATCTTCTGCAGCGGCGAAATGAATTGAAACAATGCATTCAAAAAATACGAGACGCTGTTGACGACGAACCCGCTGAATATCCTGACATTCTGAAACAGCGACAAGTGCAGCTTGACATGGCTAAGAAAGATGCCGACCAGTATGCCGGACTGGGAGAGTACCTCAGCAAGTGCATGGACGCGGCTAGGCAAAAGAAGGTCTGCCGAATGTGTTCCAGACCCTTCAAAACTGAAGGTGAATTCCAAATTTTCCTGAATAAACTCGATGCTCTGGTAAAAAGAGCTACTCAGGATGCTGTCGATGAAAGCATGCAGCAGCTGGAGGAAGACCTAGAAGCGGCTCAAAGTGTTTCTACCTTCTATGATACTTGGGTTCGGCTTTCGAGTACTGAAATTCCAGCTCTTGAAAAGGAGGAATCTCACCTAGAGTCCCAACGAGAGATTTTACTCTCCCAGGTCGAGGACCATGACAAGATTGTTAGCGAGCGTGTGGAATCAAAAAAGAACGTGGAATCGCTATCGAAAACAGTTGCGACGGTTTCAAAATACGATAGCGAAATCAAAACCCTTCGATCGCAGATCCAGAACCTTTTGGCAAACCAACAAGATGTGGGCGGCACACGGACATTAGAAGATATCCAGGAGCAGATTTCCGCGATTGGGGAAAAGTCGCGTGAGTTCCAGAAAGTCATTTCCAAGTTGAATAACGAGAAGGATCAGTCGCGAACTGAGATTACAGCCCTCGAGTTGAAACTTCGAGATGTGCGAAATAACCTGGACAACGCCAACTATCATCTGGAGAAAAAAGCGAGCCTTGCTGCCCGTGTTGAAGAATACCGTAACCTAAATGCCAAGCAGCGGGAAGCAATTGAACAAGCTGACCAAGATATTGAGAGTCTTGCTCCTGAGGTTTCGAAGGCACAAGCCCTGTATGACGACATTAGCTCCCGGGCTGGAGCTAGAGAAAGGGAGCTACAACAAGAAGCGTCCCAACTGTCCGACAGTTTGCATCAACTTAGCCTGACGAACGAAGAGATCACGTCTTACAATGACCGAGGCGGTCCGGCACTGCTGGCCAAGTGCGAAAAGGAAGTACGCAATATAGAAACCGAAATTGCAAGCCTGGAAAGAGAACAGGGGTCAATAACGAAGGACATCAATGCGATTTCAGCCCGGCTTAAGGATAGCGAAAATACAAAGCGACAGTACGCTGATAATTTGCGATATCGGCGGGAAACAGCAGCGCTTGAAGATGTCAACGCAACCATTGAAGAGTTAGCTGCGCAGAATGCGGAAGTGGACCGAAGCCGCTTTAGAGAAGAGTCAGAACGACGAACACGAGAGCACAACGCCCTATCAGCGCGGCAGGCAAGCAAGATGGGAGAAATGAAATCAAAGGATGATCAACTCATGCAGTTACTGGCTGATTGGAATACTGACTACAAAGACGCTGCGGTTAAGTTCAAAGAGGCCCATATCAAGGTGGAAACAACAAAAGCGGCGGTTGATGATCTTGGTCGCTATGGCAGTGCGCTTGACAAAGCTATCATGAAATATCACAGCTTGAAAATGGAAGAGATTAACCGTATCATCGAAGAACTTTGGCAAAAAACATACAGGGGAACGGACGTGGACACTATCTTAATCCGCTCTGACAACGAGAACGCCAAGGGAAACCGATCCTACAACTATCGCGTGTGCATGGTCAAACAGGACGCAGAGATGGATATGCGCGGCCGATGCAGTGCTGGCCAAAAGGTCCTGGCTAGCATCATCATCCGTCTAGCGCTTGCGGAATGCTTCGGTGTCAATTGCGGCCTGATCGCCCTCGACGAGCCGACAACGAATCTTGACAGAGATAATATTCGATCCCTGGCAGAATCGTTGCATGATATCATCAAGTCACGCCAGCAACAGTCTAATTTCCAGCTCATTGTCATTACTCACGATGAGGAATTCTTGCGACATATGCAATGTGGCGATTTTAGTGATTACTACTATCGTGTCTCGAGGAATGAAAGGCAAAAGTCTATTATTGAGAGGCAATCTATTGCGGCTGTAAGTATTTCTCCTAGGACACTCCATTTTCTCCATCAAATGGGACGTATCTCTTTCAATACTAATAAGATCTAAATAGGTCATGTGAAATTGGAAGCCATATTTTCGTAGGGTTAATTTTATCTGAACCTAGCTGTCCGATTTGATCTATTCCTACCTGTAGCCACCCCCTTTTGAAATTTGTAACGCTGCTTCTTAGCGGAAACAATGCGAAACTTTTTCTGCCTTTTACACAATGTGTTTCATAGGTGTAGGAAAAATTTAATACTTCGACCACAAGGAGGCGTAACATACAAATCAGCGGCACGAATGAGCGTATCAAAAGTACGTGCTTAAAATGGAAAACATGAACGTAAAATAAATACTTTTTGTGTCTCAATCGTCACCAGCACCATCCCTTTCACCCTCATCCTCATCCTCATCCTCATCATCGTCATCGACCAACGGCACAAATCGAAAATCCACAAAACCAGAGTTTTCCATCTTACTTGCCATAGGCTGTTGAGCTCCACCTCTACCATCTAGGCCATCATCCTCCCCGAAATCTATCATGAACTGTAAACTCAAAACACCCTGCCTATCAATGCGAATACTGACTTTGCTCGAAACAGCCATTGCACGCAGCGCTTTATGGATAAGTGCAAATCTATACCTCTGACGAACCCTGGATCTGGATGGTGAATTGACAAGGAAAGTCTCCGTGACAGTTGGCGCAAGTTTGCCACGCCGTGCTTGTTGTTGTCTTGAGGAAGTGCTTCCGTCATCGCCTCCAAGTGTCTTGTACACAGGTTCATTCGCAGCTCCTGCTGCGGCGGGGTCTTTGTCGATTGAGAACTCCACGGTGGATTCGCTGAATGGGCCGCCAGAGGCGGTAAGGGCAAAATACGGTGCTTTGGTTGCGGATACGCTGAATGATAATACGGTTGGGTTCGTGGAATCCAGTTCCATGATGGCGTTATGGAGCCACATTGAACGCATGATGGACTTGAATACAATGGCGTCACGTTGCAATGGGATATCACGATCTCCAGCTGAAAAATCCATATCTAGGTCGTCCGGTTCGTATGTAGTCAGTTCGCAAGTGGTAGTCACGCCAGCCTCTGATAAAGTGATAGTCAGTGGTGATCCTTGTTTGATGTAGCTGATGTTGCAAATGCGGTTTAGGAGTAACGCTGGTCCTGAAAATGCGTTTAAAGTTGTTGAAGTGGGTGCATTCGTTGCAGAATTGGAATTTGATGAGGCATCATTAAGACCAAAGATCTGGAGTGTCTCGATCAGGGCAGACAGAGAAATCAAAAACAGCGGTGAGACAGCACTTTCGAAGCCACCTCCACCTCCCTCGTCGTCTGAAATGGTAGAATTGTTGGAGTCCTCGGACGGTGGATTGAATATATAATTGGTAAAAAGTCTTCTGTCAAGAAATGCGACCCCTTGCATTACTCGCCTATCTTCAGCAGAGAACCGAATGCCTTGCGAGGTTATTTGAACTGAAGCTTTCTGAGAGAATCCAATGCACCGCAAGAGAATATGTAACTGGTGAACAGAGCTAGAGACAGCCGAGAAAACCGGACCCTCAGGCTGCGACATAGTGATTACGAGTTGTAAAAAAGAGTTTAGATGAAAAGGCTGTGGAGTGGCTAGCTTGAGTGATATCAAAAGGTATCTAGAAATAAAGATCCCTGCGTAACTCCGATTTGTTGTACATAGTCAAATAGCAAAAATGGCGCAAGTTTTTGATAGACGTTCAACTTAGACGTAAACTCCAACAGCACATATCATAAACACAGCACCAAATCTGTTACTAATTAGTTTTGTGATACAAGATGAAATGAATGAAAATGACAAAATATATGCTTACCCAAATGCCAATGAAGCTGGCACTCCAAGTAACGGGAGATTGAGAAGGGACCGATCTTAAAGTCGAAATAATCAGCACCTAATTAGCCATATCTCCAACGACAACTACTCACTAATCCCGAAGAAGCCAACAAGAATGACAGCTGACGTGAACAGTTAGCCAATTGAATATATTCTAGGCAGGTCCACCAGACAGATCAAACTTACAGGTTACTAGAAGGGTAGAAGCAATGAACAAATGACTATTCTTCGAGACTAAGGGATAGAATGGGTTTCCACCAGCAGAATCCCATATCTCGTTCAGGGACATCGGTGCAATTGAACCACGTTGTATGGACAGTAAAGTGGAAATTAAATAAGTAAACAATTCTGGGCGCACGGAAACTCGGTCACAAACTAAAAGCTGGTCCGCGAGATATCAGTTCTGGAGAAGAGCAGTAGGCAGTTGGAAGCTAACGGACACATCTCGTGATTTGTCGGATATACATATTTCCGATGCAAGTACATATTGCTCAAGGTTTATCACGTTTGGTACGATAAGACGTGCAGACTTCGCAGCCAGTTGTTAACCAGAATCAAGGATTTACTATCAGATATGATGGCGCCAATGACTCTTGACCGTGAGCTGCCTGACATATTTAATTGCTTCCTGCTACATGGAGTTTCCTAACAAATGTCTTGCAGGTGGCAAGCGCAAGGCTTCCGAGGAATGGGTTCCGGCAGTTGATCCCCCCCATCCGATGAAAAAGGCGAAAACGGAGTCTCCCAGCAAGGAAGATGAGGTTTGATTCCGTGTGATACCTTGAAAAATTTAATGTCATACTGAATAACTGATAGTATGCTTGCAGGAGGACGAGCAGCAGGTTCTCAAACTCGTGCCGTACCCGGAAAAGGTCCGTCCCTTTTGTCACCTTTTTGCCCCGTTTGAAGTCTTTGGACTCGTGTTAATTCAAATATGGCACAGCCTGCTGTTATAGAAGAACGAGATGGAACGATCGAATTCCGGGTTGTTAACAATGATGGCGAGCGGGAAAGCTTTATCATTCTCACCGGTCTCAAATGCATATTTCAGAAGCAGTTACCAAAGATGCCGAAAGATTATATCGCCAGGCTAGTGTATGATAGGACTCATTTATCGATTGCCCTTGTAAAACACCCCTTAGAGGTAGTAGGGTATGTTACCATTTGTGTAGCTCCGTTTCAGTTGTGTTCAAGCTAACAGGAAATTAGAGGCATAACTTATCGACCTTTTAAAGGAAGGAAATTCGCAGAGATTGTGTTTTGTGCCATATCCTCCGACCAACAGGTCAAGGGATATGGAGCCCACCTAATGTCACATTTAAAGGTATGCATACTCGCTCGCTAAGGAACGACAACAGCACAGGCACTGATGCGTATGTATAGGACTATGTGAAAGCTACTTCGGATGTTATGCATTTCCTCACATACGCAGATAAACTACGCTACTGGATATTTTAAGAAACAGGGATTCACGAAAGATATCTCACTCGAGAAATCCATTTGGATGGGTTATATCAAAGACTATGAGGGAGGCACAATTATGCAATGCACAATGCTCCCGAAGATCCGGTATCTTGAAGCCGGGCGGATGCTCATAAAACAAAAGGAAGCTGTCCATGCAAAAATCCGAGCCTTTAGCAAATCGCATGTTGTCCATGCGCCACCCAAGGAATGGAAAAATGGTGCATATAAAATCGACCCTCTAAGTATCCCCGCGATTAAGGAATCTGGATGGTCGCCGGATATGGATGAGTTAGCCCGTCAGCCCCGCCATGGTCCGAACTATAACCAACTACTTCGCCTCCTCAACGACATGCAAAATCACACATCCGCCTGGCCATTTACTCAACCTGTCAATGGAGATGAGGTGCCCGACTATTACGAAGTGATAAAAGAACCAATGGATCTATCCACAATGGAGGAAAAGCACGAGAAGGATTTGTATCCAACGCCGCAAGACTTCATCAAAGACGCCAAGTTAATTTTTGACAATTGCCGAAAGTACAACAATGAGAACACCTCGTACGCGAAAAGCGCAAACAAGCTTGAGAAGTTTATGTGGCAGCAAATCAGAAATATTCCTGAGTGGTCGGTGAGTCTCAACTGGCATTCCCCATGCGAAAACGCTTACGGTTTTAACTACGGTGTATCTCAGCTAATCAATCTATGATTCAACTAGCACTTGGCGGATTGACACGAGCTGTAGTTTTGAAGATAGTCCTTCTTGCTAGATAAAAACATTCTAGGCCTGATCTGGTTTGATTTTTTGAGGCGTTTATTCTGTTTCATTTGTATTGGTATAGCAAACATGAATCTACAACTTACTATCAACAGTAAACATCTTAGCACACGTACGGAGGAAAAGTCCTTCTGCAAGCTAGGAATTCATCTGGTATCCAGCAACCCCTCAGCAATTGAGATACTTGATGCCTAAAGCTTGGCTATCACGTTCTGTCTCTGTTCTGTGGAGCAGGCTTTAGTTATTGACTTGGGCTCCATTTGAATTTCTAGTGGGTGGGGCTATTGATGTCCCGTGACCTGTAGTTTAATTAACAGTTTCCCCTGACGGAATAATCTTGTTGTGAGCCGCGATAAGTTCGTTTTCTGCGCCCCAATGTAAACAGACGACAACACCCGTCCAACGGAATCGATTTCGCTGCGCTCGGGTTCTCGATTCCTTGCGATCATTCGTTTTATCCGCCTACCAAGCCATTCTTTTGCTTTTCCCAGGATCCCAAATTTATTCCTGATTGCTAGCTGCCACTGTTGATCAGGGGAATTCCTCGCTCAAATTCATATACTAACAACTTGTGCAAAAGCGATCAAATCTGCGTACAGACGCCTCCAGACTATCGATAATCAATTTATGCGTTAGATAGATTTGATTTACTGTTCCAAACCCAGTTTGCTCCTAGAGGTTTTTTCTACGCACGCACGCACCCTCCTATCAATGACGCTCGGGGAAATGGAGCTCCGCAACAGGCTTCCGACTCTTATGGAGGTCCTGAATAGGAGGACTCTCGCTCCCGTCGACTTGTTTTCATTCTATATCTACATGAGGGACCAACAATGCTCTGTCGATTATCTAGATTTTTGGTGGGTTTCCCAACATATATTCGCTACAACAATTGGGTCCAGAGATGCTTATTTTGATGATAATCTACTAGGCTAGATGTTTCGCAACACATGTCGCTATGTCGCCATTATGTTCGGGAACTACGCCGCTCCGTTCTTCTCGATACGCCGGAAGCGGAGAAGGGTGGTAGCCTACGGTCATCCGATGCCTTCGAAAGTGATGATGCCGGGGCTGGACCGTCGGGTTACGACAATGGAGAACGTCGGAATCGCGATACAAGACTATCCGCTTTCCTACGATCTGAGGGCCAAACATCAGGGCAATCAGTCCACAGCAACAATTCCAACCAATCACCCCACCGAACTCAATCGAGCGATCGGCCATCCCGACCTAGCAACTTAGACCCCACTCATACTCTTGGCAACAGTTCCAATTCTCCTGGACATACTGTCGCTCGAGCTGATATCCGTGCGAGTGCGGAACGGATTTTGTACACCTATCTCCTCCCCTGGCTCGGAAC